AAAGTCAGACGTGCCTAGTATTTTTGCCGACGTTACAGTTTGATTGACTAACTAAAATTGCTTGGAAAATTAAGTACTTTTAATTAATTTTCCCTTTAACTAGCCAGTACTCGGTAGGGATGTAAATCGGGGACATCGATAATACTAAAATTAAAAAATCTGGGGAGGTTGACCAATTTATTGCGAAACAAAAACTTACGAGAATTTAAAAATACATAGTATGCGGAACTCCATAGGGGGCCGATTTATTCAGCAAAATCGGGATTCTATGGTTTCCGGAGCGCCACGATTCGACACTTGTTTCTTATAGATTTTGATCCGAGGAACACGAATCTAAAAAGGAAAGTGGCGTATCTCGATTAATTTCTCGAGATATCGATAGTTAACGTCAATTTCTTGACACCACAATTCAAATATTTACCTTATGAAATTTGTACTGTTCTATTCAATTTACTCTTTCTATCAAAAAAGGTAGGCTAGGTCAGGCTTAGTTAGGTTAGGTGAGTTTAGAACGTCATTACTCTGATTGTTAGAGATCCTAATGGTGGTTTAGATAAATAAATTTCGACTACATATTAAACACTGTTTTGATGGGACGCGAATATAAGCAGTAGCGGAAGGGTGGGAGGTCACATCTTTTAATTATTTATTGGAATCAGACCAGAGCGGAGATGCTTATTCTTTTGCCGATTTTCAAAAACCTGTTTTCGAAAAATTAATTTTTGAAGAATTTTCAGCAAACCTCTCATTTGCAGATTCATACTCCTTAGTCAAAATCCATTACAATCGAATGAGAGAAAGAATAAATTAAGGGGAAAAATACAAATTTCATGAAATAATCATTTGAAGTGTGACACTAAAAAAACGATTTCAACTACCTACACGGAGAGAATTTTTAGTTAATTTCGAACAAGAAATTAATCAGAAAAATTACCGTGAAAAACTATGACTGCAGGACAAGTGGGACTCACTGTAATAACTGGGGATTGCAAAATAATTTTTTATCTTCTGTAAGAAAATGTTGAAGTATGATACATAAATTTGGTAGTATGTACAGTCAAAATAAAAACTTATTATTTTTACATAGTGTACTGTAAAATATTCTAAATTTCAAGTAGAAGTTATATGATTTGTAACTAAAATTTTACTGCAGATTTCTTGCCGCCGCATAGCTCGAGGGCACCACTTGTCTCGAGTGCCGTTATTTGAGAATATTGCCATTTATTCTATATTTTAGTGATCTAGGAATATGATTATTAGGATAAGACCCTTTCCCTCCACCCTTTCTGCCCCTTTCCCCAACCATCTGGGGCACTGGTTTGGAGGCTGCGAGGACCAGCGACCAGAGAGAAGAATCGACAGAAAATGGTTACGTTGCTTAGGGGCAGGAGACCAGCTGACTGAGACCAGAAAGACATTGAGACCACTAAACAGAGATTAAGGCCCAGTAGCCAGCGATCCTGACTACATATGGATGCAACCCCGGCGCAGTTCCTTCGTTCCGTAAGGCAACGCCTAATGATACGACAGAACCGAGGCTCAGTGTATCTCAAATTCAGAAAATTGGCGAAACATAACCTTGTTTGTCACAAACTATTGCCCAGTAGCATCTAATATTCACAAAAACATCCAGTGTTAGATGATAGGCCCCTCAAGTGGTTATGAAGCGATAAACTATCCCAAAATTTAATAAAATGAAAACAGGTTTATCATATTCCCGAGAGGCACATTCTATTGTAATATACTTCATAGCGCAATCAGATTTGCTTGTGGTTTGGCTTCGCCAGAATACTCGCGTTCTTCAATTGCTGTGACGATCCCTATGAAGTGGATTATGGCATCTTGCTATTCCGGCGGCTGCAGTGTCGTATTCAGAAGCTGAGACTCTCATCTACCTTTAGTCCCTCGATGTACGACTCCGTACCGTCATTTCGACAACCTGAAGTCTTCTTCCGCACTGCCAAGGCAATCGCTGATTTTCTGCATAGTTGGGCATCCTGGGAGTCTGCTTCGGTTCCGGCATTTCATTTTCTTCGTCAGTGCCTCACCAAATTTTGTAGCTGACACTCTCGAACCTCGTAGAAATGGAAATTGTGACTGAATCCATTTGGATCGTCTTACAGAACTCAAAGCGAAAAAAAACGTTTCCTGAAGGGAAGGAGATCAAATTCTTAAACCAAAATCAGACTATTGTCACGCGAAAAACCTCATTAAATCCATCGGGTTTCACAGCGCGATTCAAATTTACCTAGTCTTTTGACAGGCTCGAAATGCCGAGATTCAACACATACATTCAGTGACTAACGCTGCAAATAATATTTACATGGAGAAGTTTATGTTTCCTAACGGGGCAAATAGATTGGTGGGATTGATAAGTTTGATTCAACGTTATAGCTATAAAGGAATAGGAACTTCATGTGCGTCCTCATACATATTATGAACATTTAGTGATAATCGGAAGCCACTTCAATAGAATAGGATAACTGATTGTGCATCGGGGACATGAGGTTGATCTACCACCAAAGACTCTTTCTGTCCAGATGGCAATTGTCATGCCGATTTAGATTTTACTTCTGTTGTTCGATTGACAACGTGAATGATTAATATTCTAGACTTTTTTGTCGTCCCTTCCCTTAGGCCAAATTTTATTACCCACTAGGACGCTGCTGATCACTCTTAAGACCTTCTTCCAATTGACATCCGATCGATCTACCAAGGACGAATCCGTAGATTAAAAAAAACCAACCGTCGCCGATATTTTCGTGTCTTTTCGTTCGACAGGAAACTATTCGTTTCTAGATTTTTCCTTGACTAAAGGAAGTGGAAACGGGATAGAGGAGCTGGGGGAAAAAATCAGTTGTATGCAGTGTCCTAGCCGGCGAAGATTAATCGACAGCGATGGGTCATTTATAAATCTTGGGGAAGGTTTGGTGAAATCGAAAAGTCGATAGAGATTTTTGCTTACTATGTTGATGTGTGACATATGAGAAGAGTGAATAAATCCTATGACCTATAGGTAGAATATTCACTATGGCGCATAATCTAAGGTAATTACTAATTACGTACTATTGAGTATACACCTTATACATATATTAAACGACTATAATCTCCAAGTGGTAAAAATACTACAGCCAGAGTAATTTCTAAAAGCTTCAATATTACGACTCGTTTTCTCTTTATGATAGTCTTTAATACAGCTCTGACCTATATTACATTTTTTGCATAAGTAATGCGGCGCGCAAACTCGCACTGGCAACGGTTGACCACGTCTGCAGCTTAAAGCTTAAAACCCAGTGAAAAGCATGAGAAAAAGTTTTTTTTCAGCAGCGTAGAAGCATCTCCTATCTTTTATGCCGTGTCTCTTTTTTAACGGAAAAACATTTGACCTTTTCAGCTCGAGCCGGTGGGTATTTTTCTTTTGAATTTTTCCATTTACCTGTTTGATACTTTTTATACTTTATCTATACTTGAAATTCAAGTACAATCTTACTTTTAAATTTTAATGAGGACATTCGTTAGCATAATGACAAGTGCACATTACGTTGGTGCTCAGAATGTACCGGGCCGTAAACGCGAAAACATACAGTTCAAATTTGCTAGTTATTTGATTAAATTGATAATAGGATTGATTGGACTGCACTTGAGTAGCTATTGGATATTCTCGTTGCAAAATGCAAAAGCGTATTTCAATGGGTAGGAGTTGAATAGGATTTTATTCGATAGATTGGATAAATATTAGCGATTCTCTTAACTAGTGACTCGTCGACGGTTCCGTTTTACTGTATTGGGGGTATACGTGATAATTACATAATATTAGGATGATTCGAGGAAATCTGAGATTAAGCGTTAGATTATAGTGGGGAAATCTTAAGCTAAAGGTTAACCGAACATGCTCTTGTAGATGAAACCATCCCGTATAAAAATTTACCATTACCAAGACTCTTTCGCCAAAGTTAATGAATGGTTTTCCATTGATTTCCATTTATTTCCCCACACATTGTCCTTGGAAAAAAACCATTAAGAATCGAAAATTTATCTACGGGCATTGATCAGAAGAGAATGATGGAGATAGAGATTTATTTATTTATTCTAGAACTTGGTCTTGTGGCATTACGAAACAATATAGTAAATTATGTATATTTAGCTAACAATACTACAAGAGGAAGAGATTCAAAGAACACATTGCCTAGCTTTTCCAATATATCTAAAATACCTAATATTTTTCGAAGGACATTAGAATTACTTGATTATTCAATTCCCTCATGATATATTCCTGAACTTACAGTCTCTCGCTTGCAAGTATCTATGTATAAGCTATGTATGTACATTCGATGTACATCTTTAAGCGTCTAGAATATTCCTAGTAGATCCTTGCCTCGACTTAATTTTTTCTATGACGTGTATTTATTGAACATTTAAAAGGGGTCTCAAAATCCTATTAACTTACTCAAATTGAGGGAAACAATTGAACCATCTCTTTATTATCGAAAGTGACCAGTCTAGGTCTCGGGCAATGTCTGACCTATTGTTTTCTTTCTGATCGTGTTGCTTTATGCCTTTAGAGGAATCACGCCTGCACCAATGATACGCCTACGACTTTTTACTTGAATATCTTAAAAAAAATCAAGAAAAAGTCATATGCGAATCTTTTGATATATATGTATAATCGTTATCTAAGCGATTCTTATGAGTACAAGTAATACTAACTATTTTTAAATTTTTTATACAGACAACTCTCTCTAAGAAGCGCCCCGTAATTTTGCATTTCTCCTTAATCTTTCTTTCTCTCTCTAAGCTATCTCACCACGTGGGGAATGATTCTCCCAATCCTCTGTATTGCGGTGTGTTTTTTTTTTATATTTGCCTCCATCAAATATCTGCCTATCCGATTCCAGTGGAGACATTCCCTAAGATAGCACTACCTTCAATATATTGCGACCAGACTCATTTTGTACGCTATCTTACGGAGAGTTGAGTGTAAAAGTAAAAATGTTGCTTACAGTTTTGTCGCCGAGATTGCGTACTCGACATGTGAGATAAGCTGTTTTTCCAATCAGGGCCGTAACATTTGTGGGTTGACTAAAGTCAAAAGTTGGTTCTGTTTTTGGTTTTACACCCGAGGAATAGTCTAGTATTTGCTGACGTGCCCGACCCTGATTGGCATGTCGCTCCACAGTGTCCATACTGCGCTCTCCCATGCTCATAGTATCTGAAACAATATAGAAAAGTGTTAATTGGCAACTGCATTAGTCTTGAAGTAAAGGAATGGATTAAAAGGAGAAAATAGAGGGGAAAAAACAAAATAAAAAAAAATAAACGGCGAAAGTAGAGCGTCGCGTATCCTTAGCGATGTCGCGTTGTGGTTTTCTTGGCTTGTTAAATGTCATCGGTAATATCCCAGAATAATTCTCATTTGCAACTTGCTTAATGCAGACGATAAAGTCACAAGAATACTTCAAGGAAAACGTTAATCTAAGCAGGTCATCGCAAAATCCTGTTCTACCCGTTTGTGAAACCATTAGACGATCCTTTCCTGTGTGATTAATTCGCTAAGTGAATCAAGAGGAGCGACTCATTTTTACAGAGATTCAAGGGAATATGTACATCATTTCGAAAATACAAGAATCCTATAATTATGTAAATTTCATGCCACATATATTTATTTCATTTCTTACATTAGGATTAGCATATTTTTAAACTTGATAATCTGCAAATAGTTCTAATATAAAAGATTCCTCAATTTCCTGCCGCTACAGACACCTTTCAAAGTGAAATATTACTTTTTCTACGTAGACTTTTATTGAATCAGGGTGGTCATTTATACAGTTTATAACGGGGTGCCCGGCTCGTCCCCGCTATAATTAATTTATATCCATAGAGCCGCCAGGGAGCGCTAAAGGGCTAGGAATTTCCGAAAAATTAGGAGTTCTGATCGGGATTCGAACCCGATACCTTCGGACTGCCAAGTCGGGCACTTACCACTGTGCCACCGAACCCACTGTCCGACCTGATAAGTCCTATTTATTTATTTTTCCGTCATTCCTAGGCGGACCCTCTCCAGCTTTGTAACGTCACGTTACAAGTTTTATATTTCACACGATGTAGATCTTGTGCATTCTTCCCCAGCACGCAATATTTGTCGCAGATTTACCTTTAAATACAAAAATTCTTCATAAATGATCAAAGTCTTGTTCGCTTCCAAAAATTTGAGCATACGATTATCATAAACTGACGGTTCGTTTCGCAATAAAGAAAAATAATGAAATTAAAAACTCTGCATATTGAATTTGACATGCCTGTCCTACCCGTGTACCCCTGAACAAATTTCCCGTCGCCAATGCTTTTTTTTTAAGTAATGTGTGCTAAATCAATAAAAATCAATTCATTAGCTTTAGGAAAAGAGTATTGACAATGTGAAATATTGATACAGGTAGATTTCCTTGAGTATATTGCATGAGAAGAAAATGTCCACTGATCTATCTATCTTATCTATACATATGTCCCAGTTCTATGACGTACAGTCGGTCCACAAGTAAAATAGCTTGAAGTGACAGATGGGTGCACGTATTTCACGTTAGAGACGTTAGATTAGAATTACCCAATTCCCAATGCTCTTTTGCCAATGGTAATAAATGGTTTTCTTTACCACACATTACATTTGGCAAGAAAGCATTGGCAATGGGAAATTTTGCTATGGGCTTCGCATTTGTCCATCTGTCACGTTAAGCTACTTTGCTTGTAGACCTACTATACATTCTGTAACTATATTAATATGATACATGTGCATTATCAGTAAATTATGTGATTTCATGCTAATTGACAATTGAATCTCAATGACTCACAGTCTGTACTAATATTATACGCAATTTGCGATCCAATTCCACCGCACATTATTAATCTTTGAGAATTTCATTAGGGTTTTGAATTTTGTATCTTGAGTCATGACATGAAGTCTTGACGGTTCACAGCCGAGTACGAGAAGCTAAGAAAACTTCATAAACTTCTTCCGAGCCTTAGGAGCTTGAGGCACCATATCGCTTTTGGTATCTTACACGCTTTGCCGCCGCTTGCTTAAATTAATTTCCTTCCGGCAACTAAGCTTGAGGAGCTTATTACGGGCTTTTCGCCGCGGCACAGGGACCTCTCTTTGGCTTTTGCTGGGATTCGGATAGAAAGTTGCCAGTCAGGCGTCTTGCTGAGATTTCTAGATGTAGAAGCAGAGTTGCGTTATAAATCGTGGCACGCTTGCACGAGCACGGTATAAAATGGACTCAACGAAATAATTTCGTTTTACTTTGTATATATCCCTTCAGCAAAATCGGCTATCATGGTTCCTATAAAATTAAAGGCTCTTATCAGAATTCTATCCCCTGTATTCGTTATGGTAAATTAGTACTCGATTAAATGTCGCCGTCTTACCAAATTTTTTATGAAGAGTTAACTTTTATATGCCAGAATATAAGTTTACATTATTATGCGTTTAAATATGAAACTTAAATATAAAATTTATGAAAAGATAAAAAAGTCGTTGGAGTTCGATAAAGTTAAATCTCAATAAAAGAAATACTTGTGAGACTATTTTTTTAAGCCTTAAGTTCGGTCATTAATTCGGTGGATGGTAATCAAATAACTTGACCCGTTTTAAGAATTTTTATTTTAACGTAAATGCTTAGGCTGGAAAAGTTTGGGACAATGCTTCTACTTCTTAATTACTTGGATGAACTTGATAGTGCTCTTCCTTATGCCTTGGAGAGGCTTAAACTTTATTTGATACTGCCTCCTGTTACTGAAACTTTGTGAAAATTCACCATCAATACGTTAACGACTAAATATATTCTCTAATGATGTTGTAAACCTCAATATGATATCGGGAATTTGCGGCAAGCCTGATTATGAATTCTGACTAATATCCGAAATTGTATTATATATCCGTAGTACAAACTGTAATTAATCTGAGTATGTTTGATCATTATGTTTCATGTTTGTTACTCAATCAGGCTGTTACGGCTGAACCGTTTTGAAAGAAATTTGACATATGTACAGTCCATGTCCCGGATTAACATATATGATACGTTTTATCCTAGAAATTTGAATAATTCCTTAAAGATAAAAATAACTTGCACACAACAGACATCGAGTAGCGCTCCAGGTGCCGCGAGCAACTGCATAAAGCTAGTCTGAAAAAATTGAAAAAACAAAATGACTGATCCAAAATGGCTCTTTGAAAAATGAAAACTCGGAAGTTCTTAGAATGTCTGTTTATGAATCTGATGTAAAGTTTTCAAAATTCAAAATGTATACCTTAAAATAATGACTTTCGGGCTCCAATCATTATTGTAGCAGTAACTGACACCATTCGTCTGCTTCCTCGTGATGAAAGTCGCGCAACGTGAACGATGAGTTTGTGGCTAATAAACGAAAAACTTTTCAAAATCATAAAAAGATATCATGACGAAATTATAACCTCAAATTCGAATCCAGCGACCCTGAAAGGCTCGAAGAACTAAATTTCATGTAGATCGGACAATTTCGATTTTGAAGACGACTATTTTGGGTCCGCTTCTTTTAATTTTTTAATTTATATTTCCGATTCATAATAAGGAACAGCAAAAACTTCTCATGACATCTTCTCTCCAAAAAGTTTTGTAATTGGACATTATTCAGTACAAATAGTTTAAACATGGCTGAACAGTATTTGAAAACGAATTGTTTGTGTAAACGAAAAAATTGATTTATGAAAATAAATTTTTCTGTTTCAATCTATGAATATTTTAGTATTGTTATGAATTGTTTCGGAATCTTTTACGGTTAGTGAAGTTAAGGTTTTAGCGTCTACAGAAATCGAACAAAATTTGATACTTGGGCGCTAATTAAGATATTTCCATAACAATCTAATTTATGTGTGACTAATTGCAACTATTAATGGCCAATTAAATTTTATTTAATTATAATTAATTGTTAATTAAATTCTCAAGGACTGTAATTTTCTTCATTTAACCTAGCCGATAAACAGAAAGGATCAGCTAGTTTTAATTTGTTGTCTACTAAAGTAGGGGAGAAGCGACGAATCTAGCGCAATTGTAAATTCAATAATTAATAAAACATGTTCCCGTCTGCGCAATATAATAAACTAACATCTTAACTAAAATTTTACATAGATTTCAAATAAATTTTATGATTTTAATATATAATTATCATTGAATTTACAAACGAATATATTTCTCCTCATTAGATGCCCTTTAAGCTATTATGCCAAACAATATATATTTTAAACAGGAAATATACAATGTTGAATAAAGTTGCTTCTAAATAATATCGTCTATTGCATGTTAATCCTTATCCTTGTCATCAAGAATAGATTTTAACGTAGAATTGCCTGGAGGTTTTAGGATTAAGGACTTTAAGGTCTTAGGTTCTCTAGCAGCTTGGTCGATCCGCATGCATTTGAAGAAAGTCAGCAGGTGGAGGACCCTAGTCCTTGTCTGGAGATCTAAATATTTAGTCAGATCCTTCTGGGATTTGAATCGTATACTGTGCGATTACTGTGCAGTAAATGCCATTTTTTTGTTTCATCCTGCTGTCCTATTGTGAATTGCCCGGATATTCCCGCGAGAGAGAGAAATAGAGAGAGGGGGGGGAGGATATTAGTTTGAATGAAAAAAGATATGACTGCCATATTCAGAAATGTACTAGATTTTAGAAAAGGAACTAAACTAGAGGCGAAAAAATTATCTGCTGCTAAATATATCCATTTACAGTATTTCCACATAAATTAGTCAGTCTTATCCACAAGTTTCTTATCCAAATGAACATATTGAATTTGAATCTGATCCACATACGTCTGTAACTGGTCAGTATGTAGCCATATAAAGTTTTTGCAGTTAAATAACTTTGTTTTATAATAACCACTCAGGTTTTGGATATTGGCGTGAAACAATGAAAAACTTTATTTGTTAACATTTATTATCACCAAGAGTAGATATACATATTGGTATTATGGAGTACTAGCTGATATACTCGATTTTTGCATCAAATTTTATAAATTACAATGGTGCCATTTTTTAAAATATGTTTTATTTTAATTTGGACTATTCGTACACATACTCCCTAAATTTTATAAAGATCTGTCAATCCGTTTCTTATGTTATGCGATGTATCACATAAGTATCGACCTCCGTTGTCAAAAGGTCTAAACTGTTGAACAATTGT